ACTCGGCAAACATAAAAACACTCGGTAAATTTGACGTTTCCGGTAGTGCATGTGCTGTTAAGGGCATGTGCTCCTGTGCATCACCGTTGGATGCACATCGGATGTTTACAGTAGGAGAGAACTCTATGCAAATTTGCCCTTAAGGACATGTGCTCCCCCATGCGCATCACCGTTGGATGCACATTTATTAGGATGCGTGTAGTCCAACGGTGTATGCACATGGGGCACATGTTGGTTTGTTGTCATTGGTTATATTTGTTAGTGGTGATGAATATTTTTTTAAATGAGGCAGAGAGCTGCCGATTATATTAAAAATAAGAAGAAATCTAGACTGGGTATTACAGTGTAACAGAGTATCAAAAAAACTATATAGAGAGCGAACGGTTGGATTAAGACCTCAACTCACACCGTTTCACAACTCTAAACTGCTACACTCAACAATAAAGATCTAAACCACTATACAACCACAACGGCTCCTCAAGCAACGTATCATCACCCGTTGATAATGAATTGAAAGTATTGTTCACAGGGTGCACCCTCTGATGCTGCGGTGGACATATATACACACACTATATAGTATATGCAGATTGGAGCCAAGAAATTTTATATATATTTATATATCTGTGTTTTTTTTTTGTTCTGTACCATGATACTATGTCTCATAAACATGGTATGTAGTGTAGGCCAGCATGCTTCAGTTCCTAATCCTAGCTAGGTACGGTCCCAAGTGACGGCAAAACAAAACTGATTATATTTATATAGATATATATGTATTATTACATATATGTTGTGCGTGTGTGAATTATGATCGATGCATATGCATGATGATGCTATGTACTAGATCTCCTCCATCCCTTTGCTTGTCGGACTGAGCGATAGAAGGACCCGAGGCTGGCTTTGCTTTCGATCAGGCGCATTGCAATGCATGTCATTGGTTAATTGGAGTGTTGATCAAAGAAGGACGCATCCAACAACGCCGCTGAGTCCGGAATGACTCATCACAACTTAGCTCATGCTTTCTCTCAGGAGGCAAGCCAGGGAGATGGCCGTGGCCCCATAGCTAGCTAGATTGCTTGGTTCTGTAGGTACGTGACGCGAGCACACAATTTTAGCCACATGTGAAACCCTATTGGGCATTGGCTTGGCAGGCAGGCAGGTCATTTCATCCGTAGCCATCATCGTACAGCCGTGTAGGGCCCCTTGATGCGCCGCGCCCAGCTCCAACAACTTTATTGTGGTCCATCCATCCATCCAGATGGGACCAATCCATGGAGATGATACTACAACATGTAAGTATATAAGCGGAGATTATAAGCGCACGTGGAATTATTCACGTTCATTCCATCGATAGCTCAAAGTTACTCCATCTGGCTCAAAAAGAATGCAACTATAAATTAAGTGCGTGAATTATGTTTGAACAAGTTTCTGGTGAATAATATTTACACTTATGGTTCCAAAATTAATTTATTATGAAAATGCATTTTGTAATTAATAATCTAATGGTATTTATTTGATATCATAACTATTAATATTTTTTTTATCTATAATCGGTCAAACTTAAAATACTAAAACATAACATTGTACTATGTACTAGAATTACATTCTTTCTTGGACAGATGGAGTATATATAACAAGTGGTTGCTGAGTAACTATATCTAGGAATAATTATGGGATGTGGACCCCACACGTTGGTTCTCCGTGGTGAATCATCACACCGGCTAATTTACAAAGACATGGCTACTTTAGTTTGTACTTGATTGGAGCACTTTAATAATTTAGAGATCTAGATCTACAATTTCGTAGTTTGTATATGTCTAGATAATTAATAAGAATAACATAGTAGTTTAAAGACTATCGGTGTAATTTAGGTGAGACATTGGCTACCTCGACTGCTACATTGACCATGGCTCTAGCATGACATCCTTGACCACAGCTCCTCCACGCTCACGCTCAGCTACCTCGACGTCGGCACAAAGGGCTACCACATTGCATGAGGACTCATCGGCTTCTTCTCTGGCCCTAGAATATGTGATGCATCAACCATTATTATACGACTGCCGGGGGATATTAGCTTGTCAACTTCTTCTCCAGTCCCACCGTTTGTAGCGCTACAGCTGTAACTGCGGGAAGATATTAGAGTAAATAGGAATAATACTGTATTGTCTATCCACATGGGGTCTTAATCCTATGTACCCATATAATCAGCTCGATATCCAACTGCAATACAATGGATATTCCACCGATTCTATTTTTCTGCAGTCACAATGCACAATGAAAATGCTAGTGTAGTAATAACTGGCTTCTGATTGTGGTCAGACACACATGTAGTACTGATGCATGCTAGCTGATGCCGACAGTCACGAAATTTGACCACACCGGTCCGGCCGCCTCGCTCTTGCCCACTTTATTAATTCCAATGTTCTGCACAGAAAATTGAATGAGGGTTGTTGGATGCTAGCTAGCTGTTTCATGAAATACATATACACCCTGTTCGCTTGAGCTATTTTTCAGCCATAAAATAGTATTTTTCTCTCACAATATTTTAGCATAAGCATCAGCATAAGCCAAATTTCTTTTGATGCAGGCATAACCAATAATTACACTTTCTCTCTTTCGGATTGAAGTTGTCCTTGCTTTAATAGATATATAGCTTTTATTATGCATGCACAGACATAACGTATATCTAGAGGTATATTTTTTAGAAAGGATGGTAAAAAATTTGCCACAATTTTTATCTAGATGTATATTAAAAACTATGTATCTAGAAAACTAGAGTGAGTTACCATTTAGAATAGAGGGGAGTATATCCCTCCTTGCACGAGACAACCCAAATGCCGTGCAAAACACTCTCACCCCTAGGAACATACACCTTGCCTCTATTGAAGGCCTCCAGGAGATTGGATCTGCAGATTTTTGACATTGACAAAGTTACTAGATAGCTTGTCGTCAACGCCAATAGACAAGCTACCCACTAAATGAATAATTAGCCAAAAATGTGAGGACCTCTGGTGAGTCGTGTGGATAAATTCTACCACATCAAACCCAAACAACTGATGAGCTTCACACTTTACACTATCTATACATATATGAGATATGAGATGCATATATATACTTGAGAAGAAGTGGAAAAAATGCAGTATTGGAAAACATGGCCAATCCCATAATTTCTAAACAGTAGCAGGTTTATATTTTCTTCATGAGGATGCATGGGAAATTAAGTGAGGTGGGCATGCATGAAGCATAGGTGCAGCAAAAGCTGTACTAGTGTACGTAGAACAATGCAATGAAAGCTAGGTCCTAGGTGCATTAATCCGGACGGGTTATTGGTCTCACGAGGCAGCTCCAATAATCGACTTTTAAGCTAGTTCTAAGTATTTTTTCATATTTTAATAAAAGAGATAGAAAAGCTAACTTTTGATAAGAGCTAAGCTCTTACACATTTTAAGATTATGTGAGAGTGTCATTTGGGGCCATACATGTTAAAAACTTCATGGTAAAAGTTAGCGCTATTGGAGAAGTTGTCTTAGAGCTAGTAACTAGCTCTAACCATTGTGGGTGCCCTCACGATGGCCTATTTGGTCGGCACTTAATTATAATTAGTTGCATGATGCTTTCAAGGCAGATACATTTTCCTGTCACGCACTCTGGCTACAGGAAACTTAGACATTGGATCGTCGGAGCATTTATTTATATAAATGAATAAATTGTTTCATTATCTCGAGTTGAATGTTCGTACGTCCCTGTGTTGTGTGGCCAATCGGCGTCCATTGCTGGACGCAGATGACAGGAGACCAAGAGAAGAGAGAGCTAGGTTAGCTGCTAGCGATGCAAATTGAAATGGTGTCGCAGTCCAAGTTTGGACCACAATTGGCAAGTTGCTGGGAAGCCAACAGGTCCACCGCCCGGAGGGATCCATCCATAGATGTAGAAGGCGAATAATTCATTGGAATATATATGCATATAGCACCACACCCAACATTTATATATACTTTGCAATTTATTATTTCGCCGGAAACCTCAAAATGCATCTTTTGTACTTCCTGCGTTCCAAATATAAGAGCTTTGACTTTTTTGGTATATCGAATTTGCTATGTGCCTAGACATAACGTACATCTAGACACAAGTACTATTTAGCAGTGTGCTTCAGTATTTTAATTCATTATTTGATCATAAATTCATTTGAAGCGTGTTCTTTACTACTATTATTAATTCCTCAACTTACCTTAACAATCTTATATTCAATCAAATGGTAGCAACCTGATGCTATATACTCCTAGTACCTACACTACTTTGATGTGACAGAATTTTATTTGAAGCAAATAGAGTTGGGAAGGGACCGACAGAGGGAGCTAGAGAGAGCCTAGGTACCATAGAATTTATTTCTCGGCATGTGAATTTGATGTGCTAATCCATATCCATACATCCTAGGAGACCACTGCATAAGAATATAACAAGTGCCTCACAAAGCATATATAGGCCAACTTCTAAAAAGGCATCACTTTGCAGCAAACAACAGTTAGCAAACAATAGGGTGTGAATGATTCCTGCTAGCCCCCACTTATCCAATATACTCCTAGTTGAAGTACTTTTGAACCCCCACTTCCCTCACAAAACCCTACCTTCAAATTCTCCTCCATTTTGGGCGTGTTGATTGGAACACACATACATGTGCTGTTTGCACTAATTGGAGCACTTCACACGCTACACAAAAGCTATGCTATTTGTGTATACACTCTTTAATTGGTATAGGTATATGTACTATTTATGTGGTAAGGATTAAGGATAGCCACAAGGAAGGAACACATAGCTACTAGTACGCTTGCAGTAGCATCTTTATTTGCAAGTTCTAGTCTTTAAGTCATATAGAAAAAAAAGGTAGTCAATCTAGCTAGCTACAAAAGCTAAGCATAGCAGTGTGTGTGGTCTCTCTCTTGCTCGCCGGCCAATTGATCCAAGTTAACTGTGGTGCGACCGGCCGGCGGTGCGTGCGCCGATCGTCCATGGCCGTCCACCATCCGCACCTTCTCGACTTCTCGCCGCCTCCGAACACGGTGGCCATGGAGGCGCCCCCACCCCACTTCGACCACGGCCAACACCACCTCCTCGGGCTCCATATCGACGGCAACGGCATGCCCGTAGGAGGAGGCGTGCCTCACCGCGTCCTCGCCGACGACGCGGTGGCGGCATGGGCGCCGCAGGCCGCGGTCTCCCTCTCCCTGTACAACTACGACAACACGGCGGGAGGGTCTTCGTCGCTGTTCGGCCATCATGAGGCAGAGGCACAGTTCGCCGTGCCCCCGGCGGCGGTGTCGTCGTTGGCACTACCTAACCACCAGCAGCTGCCGACGACGTCGAGCATGCAGCCGTTCCAGCTCAGGAGCTCCAAGTATCTGGCCCCTGTTCAGGACCTGCTCAGCGAGTTCTGCAGCCTTGAAGGGGACCTGCACGCCATGAACAAGAGAGCTCCGAGAGCAGCAGCGGGCAACAAGTGGGACGACGTGGACACGTCGTCGTCTTCCTCTGGCCTCTGGGGGCACCCGTCCCTGAGCTCCCTGGATCTCTTGGAGCTTGAGAGGAGGAAGGCCAGGCTCTTGTCCATGGTTGAAGAGGTAGGCTGTACCTAGCTGTACATGTGCACGGTCTTTTTTTACTCTTACACACATACAGTACAGCATGCAGCAAGCAATTCCTGCACTACTTTTTTTGCTTCAATTGATACCATTGAGGTAATTGTTACTTTACCATATATATCTACTAAATAGTAGTACTCCTGCTTAACACTGCATATATTATTGTGCATGCATACCTTTTTTTTTTTGCAGTTCCATCCAGAGCTGCTAGATTTTTTTAATTTCAGTTATTATTGTAGTCGTCGGTTCTTGGACCATTATTGTTAATCACTGTTGCATTTTGATGAGTTCTTGGTCACAACTCATGTTACGTTCCTCGAAAGGAATCCACACATGTCGACATTGGCAAATAGTGGAGGGCAAGTGACACGGCCACTATATATGTACTTTCAGAAGCTTCTGCGTTCTCACTTATCGCCTAGCTTTTCACCCCCATTTAGAGGCATCTTGCTTGCTATCTCAGACAAGACTAACACTAGCTACTGATGTGTGATATACTGCTTTTATTTGATGCCTCCTCTTCATTCCCAGGATTCTTCTTCCTTTATCAAGTTCTCCCTACTACAACAATTGCATGTCGTAGTTCCTCTCAAAAAAAAAGTTACCCCGACTAGTAGAAACTTTATTTATCATACTCTGTTATACTACCACTTATAAAAAATTTATTTAACTCAAAATAAAATCTTTGTCTCTTCTTGTCAAACATGTACATGTCCTACTCTAGCAAAATGAGTCAATTACTCAATTTTCTTCTTTTTCTCAATATAAGAAAGCGATGTATCAAATGACCGCATAGAACCTTATTATTCGTATCGATCTAATCAACTACTACGAATTATTATATTCAATTTAGCATTTTTATCTTTTTATGTATCTACACTGTGGATGTGTATATATTAAGTATCATAAACATATGCAAAGCAATCATGGCCAGGTGGACAGGCGGTACCGGCGATACCGTGAGCAGATGAGGGCAGTGGAGGTGTCGTTCGAGGCGGTGGCCGGAGCCGGCGCGTCGCAGGTGTACACGAGGCTGGCGCTGCGCGCCATGTCTCGGCACTTCCGGTGCCTGCGGGACGCGCTGGTGGCGCAGGTGCGCGCACTGCGGAAGGCCATGGGGGAGCGGGACGGCGGGCCTGGTGCGGCGGCCACGGCGGCGGGCGCCACCAAGGGCGACACGCCGAGGCTCAAGGTGCTGGACCAGTGCCTGCGGCAGCAGCGGGCGTTCCAGCACCCCGGCACCATCGAGAACTACCCGTGGCGGCCCCAGCGCGGCCTGCCGGAGCGCGCCGTCGCCGTGCTCCGTGCTTGGCTCTTCGAGCACTTCCTCCATCCGTACGTCGTCGTCCCTCCGATCCATCCCCCCATTCATCACTCTAGCCCATTTCCATTTCTTTACCAATTCATTCCATTCAGATTAATTATATTAACAACTGCGCGCGGTAATTAAATAATTCGATCTGATGATGATGAACTGATGCAGGTATCCAAATGATGTGGACAAGCACATTCTGGCGCGTCAGACAGGATTGTCAAGAAGCCAGGTAATAATTCATAGTATTTGCTAAATTTATGCATGATCCATGTGCCTTCCAATTCCATCATCATCAGCATATGTACAGTTACTGGACAGCTACATACTGTTTGTAACAGTTCGTCAGGTACAAGATGAGCTAACCAGCAGACACATATATAATAATGTGCTTAACTCACACACTTCTTGTTATGTACTAGTACTACACCCAACCACCACCTGTATCATATCTGTCCCTATTATGAACGTGTGGACTAGATTTCAGTTTTTTTTTCCTTTCCACATCTTCAATTAATACTTGATGGAACCGGTTATATATATGTCGCCATTGTCTACTTAGGTTGCGTAGAAGAGAACATAATAATCAGTGCCAGAATCTATATGCTTTCAGATGGAAAATAAATTTCTCTCAAATTTCTTTTCTAGGTTTCCAATTGGTTCATCAACGCCAGGGTGAGGCTGTGGAAGCCAATGATAGAGGAGATGTACACGGAAGAAGTGAACCAGAAATCAGACACGAGTCAAAACCCTAGCGGTGGCAACATTGGCGGTGGAGTCGTCGTCATCAAACCTGAGCAGATGAGCACAACTGCAGCAGCTGCCATTGGAGGAGACAGCCACTTCCGAACTAGTGCTGGGAACCCTAGCAGCTCCATGATTTCATCCTCCATTTTGACCGCCGACGGCGGCGGCGGTGGCCATCTGTTCAGCAATTATCCGAGCATGCACGGGAGCCACGGCGGCGCCGTGTCGCTTACCCTAGGGCTCCAACAGCAGCCGTTTGCGTCGACGATGATGCACCAGCATTCACTGATGTTGCAGGGTGACGAGCAAGAGCCGGTGCTGCCGTACAGAGACCTTATGGGGTCTCAATTGCTGCATGATTTCGCAGGGTAGCAACAGGCCTACTAGGAGGGGTGGTTGTGGTTATAAGTTTAAGAGAGGTAAAATTTATTTTTATTTCATGACTAAACCATATAAAACAGACAAATTGGTTCCTAGCTAGCTAGCTTCCCGCCGGCCAAATCATCCATGCTGTATTTAATTTCTCGAGCATGCTGTGCTAATTTGTACCCTATATGTTTAGAGTTAATTAGTTTATTTCAGTAAAAGTGCAGCTGCTCTACTCATTCAAGTAAAGCACACCAAACGCCAATGTATAGGTGAGTATCATTTTTCTGTCGACAATTCACCCGTTTATGTTTGGGAAAAGGTATATATTTTCTGGATGAGGAATTATTTAGTAATAAGGCAATTATTATATTTGGCATTGTCTTTTGGCACAAGATTTATTATTTAGGTAATTCATCTTACCAAACATTTTGTTATTGAATATTTTTGTGATTGTTTGAGTTGTGTAAATGGTGATCTGGATATGTTTTGTTCACTTCTAGCAAGTTTTGTTAGAAACCGTGTGCAGGGGGAGCAAATCTCTCTACTGATAGTGAAACACGCTACTACGGAATTGATTTTGTATGGCGTTGCACTTTAAATAACGGAGGCGGGCACAAAATCCAACCGCCTCCTAACATGCCGGGCTATTAACGGAGGCGGTCATTTTTATTTTACGAGGCGGTTAAAAAATAACCGCCTCCTAAAATGGATTTACGGAGGCGGGCGCCCTAAGACAACCGCCTCCAAAAAAATCCTCTATTTTCGGAGGCGGTCGTCTTAAAGAGCCCGCCTCCGTAAATCCTTTTTCGGAGGAGGGCACACTATAAAGCCCGCCTCCTAAGATCGTGGCCCAGCGCCGAGCCCAGCAAAGCCCATAATACTGGGCTCATATATAAGTGCTGACTTAGGGTTTCTCCGTTTCTCTCCAACACTCCCTACCCTCTCCTCTCCCTCCCAGACGCGCATCCCTCCTCTCCCGAGCGCGCCGCGGTCCTCCTCTCCTGAGTGCGCCGCGCGCGGCCATCCTCTCCCAGCGCGGCGGCGCCCTCCCCCCTCCCTCTTCCGGCGCGGCGGCGCCCTGCCCCCTCCCTCTCCCAGCGCGGCGACTCCCTCCCCCTCCCTCTCCCAACGCGGTGGCGCCCTCCCCCCTTCCCCTCTCGGCATGGCGGCGCTCCACCTGCCTCTCCCTGTGCGAGCGGCGGATCTACCGGCGGCGCTCCTCCACCGCCTCCACCAGATCTGTCCCCTGCGCGGGCAGATCCGACGACGGTGGCGCACGGGGAGGCCGGATCCGGCCCCGGCGAGGGCGGACTGATCTGGCGACGGTGGCGCATGGGGAGGCCGGATCCGGCCTCAGCGCGGGCGGATCCGGCCAGGTGCGCGGCGCGGATCTCCTCCGGCAGCGGTGGGCTCCAGCACGGCGGCGAATCGAACTTCCCTGGCACGGATCGAGCTCCCGTGTGGCTGATGGAGCTCGCCTACGGCGGATCGAGCTCCCCTGCGGTGGCGGCGGCGGCGGCCCAGATCCAGGGCCAGGCCCGGTTCGGGCTGTGGGCTTTTTTGTTTTTTTTTAATTTATTTTTAGAGGCGGGCAAAGGAACTGCCTCCGTTAATCTCCATTAACCGAGGCCTTTGATTGGAGGCGGCTGCAATGCCCGCCTCCATTAATCGATTTTGCCCGTCTCCAAAAAGATTTGTGTAGTAGTGACACTTTTCCAAGAATGCCATCAAGTCCCAAAATTTCAAGATATTGTGTATCCAGGATATCCACTTGTATCTCCAAAGAGAATATCTATAGTAACATGATGCTAGACTTATAAAACTAGTCAAACGATGCCGACTTTTTTTAGACTCTTGAGTTGTGACAGAGATACAAATACATTTGAAGGATTTGCGTGTATGAGTTGTAGGATTACGACTTAGACTCCATTAGCTAGAAGCTTACTGAAGTTTAATATAAGAATTTAAGAGGGAAATTGGCCTAAAATCTCCAAGTAGCTAGAGGATGTCTCTTTTTTTTTGCTAAAGTAATGTATGAGCAAACTAATACTTTGCCAACAAATATTCTGTTCTGAAAATGCACCACAAAGCTTATAGAATTCCTCAGCTATAGTTGTCTAACACTTCTTGAGAAAACCACCATTTGAGCCAACGGGTTTTAGAACTTATTAGAAGGAAGGTTCTCCATTACTCTTTCAATTTCTTCTTTGGTGAAAGACGAAAGGTAACTCTAAGATAATCAGCTTGAATTACATATAGGTGACCTTAGTAAGCCAAACTCGATTTTCTCAAACCGAGAGGTCTCGAAGCCTTTCTATATATGCCTCTAATCACAAAGGATAGCTGCCTTGGCATCATGCTCAAACACTTCATTTCCAACAGAATCCTTAAAAATGTGACGGCATTTTGGAATGCTTAATTGTAGTATTTGCACCAAAAAAATAGTGTACACTCATCAACAAATTAACATTTATGTGGTGCATGGTTCACAAATACTGCCTCCAAATTAACATTTATCGGGAGCCATTCCAAGAAAACCACTTTTCCTTCAGGTGGTGCATGGTTCACAAATACTGCCTTCATCCCAAAAAGATTGCACTTCTAGATTTTTGTTCATGCCAAACTATTTTTATAACCAAGATAAGATTTGTTTGATCTATCGAGCGAGCCAGCTATATATAGGCCCACCAATAGTATCAATATTTATTATTCCAAATAGGAATACTATAAAAATACATTTCACGGTGTCGAATGATACTTATTTGATACCAATATTTGTACATTTTTGTAAATATTTGGTCAAACTGAAAATTGTTTGACTTAGCACTATACCTACAAAGTGCATTCTTCTAGAGACAGAGGGAGTACTAGTATACTAGTATGAATCCAAAGCTCTGCCGACACAAGTGACATAATAAGGTTGAATATGCATAGTCGACGATCTATAACAAGTTCCAAAGAATGAACCGTTCCACAATGACATAATAATTTAATTTCCCCTTACTTTTTGAATCACCCTTACCCAACTTTTTGCAAATTCTAGATATAAAAATATCATCTTGTTTAAGGTGAATGTTCAGCCAGCTACATATCTCATATCTTTTAAATGCATAATATATAAATAGTGAAAGCTACATCTTCCTTACTTTTGTATTAGTAAGAAAGACGATAAATGGATTAATTTTACATGCTGGTATAGATGATAGGATTGTTGATTCTCTACATGTGCGTGTGACACACTCATATGGTTGAGATGAATCAACGCATGTTGAATCATAGGGAAGTTTGTGCTAGCTCTAACAGGGATGGGTAGCTATAATAGACCTTGGACCCTAGCTTTCTTTAACATAGATTGCTAAAGATAATCTACAACATAGAATACACTAGAAATTAATTAAAGCAGATCTCCTTGCCTAACTCCCTTTCAATAGTGAAACACTTTCCCAAGAATGCTATTTAGGAGGATTCATCGAGTCCCAAAAGTTAAGGTAATTGCATATCCATGAGATCCACTCATCTCCAAAGCTATGTCATTTTCTTTTTCAAAACTTGTGATAGAGACATAAGACTAAAAGGGCCATGCTAAGCTATCCTAGATGGACCACAATTTGTCTGTGTGTATTTGTAGGATTATCACTTAGTGTCTATTAGCCAGAAGCTTATTGATAAGTTTAGTAGAGAAATGTAAGAGGGAAATTGGCCTAAAATCTCCAATTATATCAAGGACTGATCTTTTTAGGTTGTAAAGTAAGGTATGAGGCAATATACAAACAAATATTCTATTCCCAAAAAGCATCACAGAGCTTGTAGAATTCCTCATTATAATCATCCAACATTTCTTGACTAAATCACTATTTAAGCCATCAGATTCTAGAGATTTATTAGAAGGAAGGTTTTCCGTTATTCTTTCATTTCATTTTTGGTGAAAGGTAATTCTAATCAATCAAGATAATCTGATGAAATTATAAGTGAGCTTTGTGGTTAAGCTATGTCTTGCATGCAATGCTTCACCTCCAAACCACTCTGCCTCAATGATCAAGAACTCGTGTAGTGCTTTCTAGAAAATTGACCCTGATATACCCTGAATATGATGAAGAAGCATGTGGCCTGTGTGGGGAATAAAGTGGCACGAAAGAAGATAACTCAATCCAAAACTGATGGATAGAAGACAATCAACAAGACTACAAAGAAGTGATGGTCTTCTGAGACCTTTGTCATCAGTTCTTATGGTCAACGTGTCTCTTATGTTTTTCTGTCAGATTTGAACTTGTCTGGCCTCAGGGTATATCAGGGTCAATTTTCTAATAAATCTCTAGACAATCAACAAGACTACCTTCTGTTTTTTATGACACGGATAGCACGAAACAAATAAGAGATTGGAAGATAAAAATAATTGAACTCAATTATTAGAGACAAAATAATTGAGATCCAGTGTGACATAATTTGCTTCCAAGAAAAAAAAAAGAGTATTTTGGTAATAAGCTATACACTGCATGGGTCAACTAGATTTAGAAATCACTATTCAAAGGGTAAGCTGCTAGATGCTGTCAAAAAAGATCATTTTGGTGGCATGACATTATGAAATTATTGGACCAATTCAAAGGTATAGCTTCAGTCACAATTTCATATGGATCCTAAATCAGTGTTTCCCCTGAGCTTTTCTCTTTTCTAAAGAATAGGAAGATAACTCTGCTCAATGCCAAAGAGGCAGCTGCCACACAGAACTTACACCTCTCAGTCTAAGCCTCTGGACAGTTTCTTATGGGTTGTTGTTGCCATGCAACTCAAAACATTTGTTTTGTTTTGTGCACAAATTAAGAAAACATAAATTACTATGAGACAACATTTCTTTCGTCTTATGCACAACTCAAAACATAAGAAAATACAAGTTTACAGTCAAGTAGTTCACAGGAACGATGATTCTGTGTGCTTGTGGGCACGTAACAGTGTAACACACACACATATATGGTGAGTGTGCAACGCAAAGACCCACTGATGAATCAATGACAACTAGTCAATTAATTAATTGAAATTTTATATGATTGATTGATCGAAAGCCACTGGAGCTCTGCTTCTCCTCTGTTACAAGCAGAACAAGTTACGTACTAACTCGCTCGCTAGTAGTAAGTTACATCTCTGTATACTCCATATTCTGCAGCTTATATATTTATATATTATAGTATTAGTACATATATATAGTAGTTATAAAACGACTAGTAGATTGTAGTAAAGGGATGGAAGAATGACTGTCCATTGGTCATGAAGCCGTGGTTGAGCTCACCGGGCCTGGCCGTCTTCTGCCACATCTGGTCCTGCAGCATCTCCTCGGTGAGGCCGAACGCCCTGAGCTCGTCGGCGGTGTGGTGCACGAGGAGGCTGTACCTTCCGCCTTCTCCGGTCTGCATGACGAGCGCGCCGCAGTTGGCGAGGTTCTCGAGGCCCTCGAACTGGCGGACGGTCCACTTGTACCAGCGCATGAGGAAGACGCGGAGCGTGAGGCCGTGGGAGACGAGGACGATGTTCATGTCGCCGGTGGTGGTGGTGCCCGGGGGGTGGAAGCGGCCGATGTCGATGTCGGCGAGCAGGGTCTCCCGGAAGCCGGTGATGCGGTCGTACACGTCCGCCGCCGACTCGCCGTTGGGGAAGCGGTAGAAGAAGCGGCCGTAGCGGAGCCGGATCTCCTTCTCCAACCGCATCTGCTCCCGGTCCTGGAAGTTGCCTGCCATTGCGGCCCATGGCAAGCGTTGGGCCGGATCCCCAGCCCAGGAGCATTCGTCAGTTAGGATGTGTATGTGAAGGCCCATCGTGTAGGAATTCTGGGAGGCTGACGGGTGGACCAAGGTGGATAAGGCAAGCGTTATCCGCCGCCCGTCGTGCAGTGCAGGCGAAACAGAGGACGTACCGAAGTCCTGCTCGCGGAGGCGGGGCTCCTCGCGAACGCCGACGATGCGGTGGGGCTCGAAGGCGTGTCCGATGCCGCGCAGCGTCTCCAGGGAGCGGCGGTAGGGAGAGACGTAGAAGTAGACCTTCCAGTCGTCGCCGTCCTGCGAGAAGAGGTCGCGCAGGCGGCGGCCGCAGTCGTCGGCGTCGCGCCAGCCCTGGGCGGTGAGTCCGATCCTGGGGTCCGGGACGCGGGTGTACGCGGCCTCGTCCACGTTTCCCTCGCTCTCGCCGTGCCGCACCAGCACGATCCGCCGGGGCCTGGGCGCCGGCGCCGGCGCGGCGGGGGCGAGGTGCGGAGCTGGGGCGGCGGCCTGCTGCTGCAGCCGCCGGCGCGGGACGCCCAGCGTGTCCTCGCAGCACCGGCACCGCAGCCGCCGCCGCGCGGCCGCCGGCGGTGCCACCACCAGCGCTGCCGCCGACGGCCGGCACTTGCTGGGCGCCGCCACCATCGACGTACGGCACCTGATGATTCTGGCTGCTGGCTAACCAACTGCAAGGCGCTAGCTAGCTAGTAGCTAACGGTTTCTGGTTAGTGGTTATGGCTTTGCTTGCGGGAAATGGCGGCATGCACATGAGAGATGCTATATCTTGTGCTTGCACGTATCAGTGTCTGTGTCCACGCAGCGCGGCGGGCTTGACTTTTGCATTGTGTGGCGAAGAGCTCATGAGTCATGAACACGCGGCCGCTAGCTTAGCTCTGTCTCTGTCGTGTCGTGTCGTGTGTGCGTGCCTCGTGTACTCGCACTAGCAGAGCAGTCCTGGACTGGCCGCTGTCGTGGCGTGGCGTTACTTCGTCGCGACATGCCATCTTGGGCTGCCTGGCCACACGAACAGCACTCGGCAAGTCTGCAAGTCGGCATCTGATTGGTGGTTGCTCATCTCGCTGGACGGCTGGAGCCTGGACCGAGCGACTAGCGCCCGGACGTCCGCACAGTCTGCCCTCGGGCGCTGATTTTATTTACGCCCCGCACACGTATTCATCTTGTCACAGTGCCCACGCGTTTACACAAGTGGTCTCGCACGCGCAGCACGCCCTGTCCACCTCGATTCGAGACCGTTCGCCCCGTCCTGCACACGCACCCGCCCCCATGGCGCCCCCGACCGGCGGCCCCCAGCTCGCCGCGCCCCCATCATTACCCAACACCCGTGCCGTACCATTATCGCTCCCCACACCACTTGACTCCCCGAACAACATAAAACACGTGCAACATGAAACACTTGAATGCAACATCCATATAAAACGGATGAAACAACTAGAACGTACACTTGCAACATATGTGTGAAACACATGCTACATCAAATAAAAACACTTGCAACTTGTAATATGAAAACACTTGCTGCGACATAAGACTGAAACAGGTGAGAGAAACTTGATGTGTGAAACATATGCAACATCCAGATCGGAACGCTTGAAACATACGTCTGGAACAGATGAAACATTTTGAACAACACCTCTGAAACACTTGCAACATGCCTCTAAAACACTTGCAACATGTGCAACATCTCCAATCTACCTTTTCAATAACCATATGTAATAATTACAACATACCTCTGAAACACTTCGCTTCTAACATGTGCTTTCATCGCCACAACTCTTTGATGAGGTCGTGCATCGTGGCGGCCACGACATCGTCAGTGGCCACGATCTTTTGGTGGGGAACGGCGGTGGCACCTCAGCAGTTTTCCCATTGGGCCATGTAGTTTCCCATTGGCCCATGCAAGTCCGAATGCGTCGACAGAAGTTGAGCCCGTTTGGCTTGGCGTAGAGTAGCTCCACAATACGGACGGGCCTTATCACCCTGTGTCTTGCGACTAGGCAGCAGCCTTTTTTTAGGGGGTGTTTGGGACTGCTCCACAAACTCTGCTCCATAAACTCCACCGTGGAGTAGCTCCATAAAAAACTGGAGTTTGTGGAGTACCTCTTTAGGTGCTCTCACAACTCCACCCTTTTTCTTGGAGCAGAGTGCGTAGAGCTGAAACCGTTTGGCTAAAAAACGTGGAGCGGAGCTGAAAAACGTGGAGCGGAGCAGTCCCAAACACGCCCTTAGTCTGTATTTCATTCATCCTAAGAATGCAGTTTTATATTTTAATAATCAAATCAAATTCTTTTAAATTTAATTATGTTTATCGAAAATACTATCAACACTTATGTTTTAATAAATTTGTTATAAATATTCAATAATTAAGCAAATGATACTTTTTCGGTATTCGTAAATGTTAGTACTTTGTTATATAGATCTAGTAAAATTTAGAATTATTTAGCTCATTGAGAATCAAGAACTTCTGTTTTTAGAATAATGAGAGTGTATACTTCTTTTTTACCCTCTGCGAGCATTCTATACAGCTACGCAGTAGTAGATAGAAATATTTGTTTTTTATGTCTGCGTATGTTTGTTTGTAGATGTCAGAATTATTATTTTTTCTAAAATCATATACTACTTCTTTTCATCAAGGAAAAAAAACTCTGAAACCAGGTATGGCAAGGCATGTACCAGGTTTTACTCTGCAGATACTTCATTTTATCAAGAAGAAAAATACAGTGCCTTTTTTTTTCTTTCTTTTCTGCAGTCTGCAAACGATGCGTCTTCACAAAGATAACATAAATGGTTTTGCAGTGGATCTCCAAGTCAAACCCAGGTTGTTTGAAGCTGCATAGTTATTACACGACATACAAATTCATCCAGGTAAGGTAAGATCCCTATTGGCTATCTCCATCCACTCCAACAGTAAAGATCTGACCCACAAAACAGTGAAATCAGAATCAGGGTATGTATATGTATCATCTCCGCCCACCCACGGAGGAGAGAAAACAAAAAAAAAATTAAAAAGAAGAAAATAAAATGAGCAGACCACATCTCTTGCCAAATTGCTCTACCTACGTGTATATATAATAATAAGTACTACTCTTTCTATTTAACTTTGCTCTAATAACCTAGTTAAACTTCTCTATCACCGTCTTTCCTCACTTTCTTTGGCTTTGTTTAGCCTTTTCCAAGAGCAGAGGAGAACAGAGCACCCCTTTGACACGGAGCCCCCTGTAGTTGCTCAAAATCACAACAAACCAGAGAGACGCACCCACCTGGTCTGGTCAAGCCGGTCGAGTGAAGAAGGTGGAGGGTTATTTTTTGCACAAAGGCCCAGCAGGAACGGGGTAATTCGGATCACTACGATGGCGGCAGCGGCAGGGGCAGCGGCAGGAGCAGCGGCGGGAGGAGCGGCGTCCGGCAGAGTGGGCAGGTGCGGTGGCCGTGCGCGGCCCAGCGGTCGAGGCAGGCGCGGTGGAAGACGTGGCGGCAGCCCCGGGCGCGGCGCACCTCGGCGGCGGCGTGGAAGTCGCCCAGGCAGACGCAGCACCCCTCGGGGAGCGGCCGCGGCGCCGTCTCCCTCCGCTTTCGCTGCCCCGGAGGAAGAGGAAGAGGAGGAGCTGCCGCACGACAGCGAGTCGAAGCGCACCGCCGGGGAGTGCTCCTCCAGGCGCTCGGCGGTGGCGGCGGCGCAGGGGTGGCGCGGGTGGTGGTCGGCGTCGGATGCCGCCGCCCAGCTGGCATCGGTGTCGGCGTCGGCGGCGCCCGCGAGGCGTAGCAGCCAGGTGGAGAGGCGACGCAGGTGGCCGAGGAGGAAGAGGAGGTGCAGCACCAGCTTGGGCATCTCCGAGTACCCCACCGGGAAGCCCATCAGAATCGGGACAGTCCAATGGAGGAACCAGCTGAGCTGAGCTTCTTGGCTGCACTGCACAGTACTATCAGTTGGTTTTGGATGGAGGAAGGAGATGATGGTGGCGTCTGACTGCACCGAGTATGGCGGCCTGGCGGGGCTTTAAAAAAGGAAGCAGGGAAGGAGACGAGCAGAGCAGGCAGCAGTGAAGGTGAAGGGGAGGGCAGACGTAGGCGGAGGAAACAAACAAGCAGCGAGCAAACAGCTCATTAAAGTGATGGGAGGCGCAGGACGGTGACAGAGATCTACTAGCAGTGAAGGTGTATGTACAATTATCTTTGTACATACACCACGTCGGCAGTGCATACAATATAGTACAAAGGCTCCGTTTGGCTTATTTTTTTTTAGGTAGAACAGTATTTTTCTTTCACAATAATTCAGCAAGAACGGTGTTTTCTAGTTAGTTTTAGTTAAGATTCAACGAGCCGAACAGAGCCTATATATGATAGTATAAAACAGGACATATTATATTTGTTTTTGTTATAAACATGGCCATATCTATAGCTGTGTCCTTCAACTTGTCACGTACACGCATTTCCATCTTAAGTCTTACTATGAAATTACACTCCAAACGCCTAAAGTTAATGATTATATTACATCAAATCTAGCATTTGCATTAGAGCAAGCATAATAGTGGCGATAAGCCACTAAATCTTTGAGGTGAAGGAGAGAAAAAAAACAGGTTGTAAGTTTACATCCATCTCAGGCGCGGGAACCAAGAAACTTTACGAGAGAGACAAGTGCATTATGTATTAATAGTAAAGAGTTAACTACTATATAAACGGGCTAAGAGAAGGCTACCAAGAAACCTTACATGCAAGACCCTATTCGCGTGCCCTTAAACCCGACTTGATCCGTTTATTTTTTCATCCGGAACAGTGTTTTTTTTTCACAAATTCCTGCAGCATTCTTCCAAACCATCCAGATTCTTCTAAAATTCAGAGAAGCGAACAAGCCTGTATTACTAGCCTTGCTCTTAAACCGCTCGCGTGGCACGGTAATTGTATGATGACATGCCTCGATATGTGGGGTCAATCAGTACATTTTGTTAGCGGTCTTCAAACTTGTCCAGCATTTTTATTTAGGTTCCGGTATTCTCAAAATGTATTTTTATCACCCTAAACATACTGATTGTATCATATTAGGGGCTGTTTGGTTTCTTTCCTCCCTGCCCTAAAATTCTGTCACATCGAATGTTTGGACACATGTATGGAGTATTAAATATAGACTAATTACAAAACTAATTGTATAACTTGCGACTAATTTGCGAGACGAATCTTTTAAGCCTAATTAGTCCATGATTTGACAATGTGGTGCTACAGTAAACATGTGCTAATGATAGATTAATTAGGCTTAAAAAATTCGTCTCATAAATTAGCCTCCATCTATGTAATTGATTTTATAATTAATTTATATTTAATGTTTTTATTAGCCTCTAAACATTTGATGTGATATAAATTTTAGCCTAGAGAGCCAAACACCCTTGGGTCTAAAGTCTTCGGAACTTGTGCTAAACCGCTTGTGTGGTACACTAATCGTACAACGATGTGGCTCTCATATTTTGTGCCGGTTGTTCGACACCATCTCTCTCTAGCCTCCTCCTGCCCTTCTCTCTCTAGCCTCCGGCGGATCTGGAACGAGCGACGATAATGAGCCCATCACCACTGGTACAGGCATAGTACCTTAGTTGTGCCGACGGGAGACTTCATCAGTATTTAATATTGTAGCATTTTCGTTTATATTTGATAATTATTGTTTAATTATAGACTAATTAGGCTCAAAAGATTCGTCTCGTAATTTACAATCAAACTGTGTAATTAGTTATTTTTTATCTACATTTAATACTCCATGCATGTGTTTAAAGATTTGATGTGATGGAGAGAGAGCGAAAAAACTTGGCCTTGTTTAGATTGGGGTTAGGAATCGGTATTTGACACTGTAGCACTTTCGTTTGTATTTGACAATTATTGTCCAATCATGGCCTAACTAGGCTCAAAAGATTCGTCTCGTAATTTACAATCAAACTGTGTAATTAGTTATTTTTTTTATCTACATTTAATACTCCATGCATGTATCCAAAGATTTGATATAATGGAAAGAGAGTGAAAAAACTTGCAATCTAAACTAGGCCTAAAAGAGATAATGAGACTGACACATCTACCTCACACGTTAGCGATAGAGTCATCATATAGGGCATGTTCGTTTGGAGGAATTCTGGAGAAATTTGGATGGTTTGGAGGAATGCTAGAGGAATTTGTGAGAGAAAAACACGGTTACGGATGAAAAAAGAAGCGGATCAAGCCAGGTTTAAAGGCACACGAACGGGGCCATAGTTAGCATGTTATTACATAAATAGTTTAGTATATAGGTGAATCCTAAACTATAATAGAATGTTCGTGCTCTCTCTCCATTGGGTGGTGCTTCTTTTCACTCATTCCTTCTTTGGCTCTGTTCAGCTGGTCTATAAGCCGCTTGTGCTGATTTGTACAGCTAATTTATTGGGAGAGAAAAATATTGTACCATAAACTAGCTTATAATGGCAGCCGAACATAGCCTTTATCTATGTACGACATCTCTATCGAGGCTAGAGGAGGCGGGTTATAAGGCTACGAGTTTGTAAGTTAGGATCTAGAGTGCCCTTTGCCAAATGCAAACCAGATGCATAATAGCAGAGCATCTACATCCTAAACATGGAGCTAGCTTTGAGCTTTCAGACGCTTTTTCCACCATTCCTACGGTCCTACCACACTCAATAGTGGTGCACTGGCTCTAAGAACTCTGTGCCCTCATCTTCACCTCTCATCTCAGTTGATCGAGACATGTTCATCACCACCTTTAGGTATGAGAGGTACTTCCAAAGTTCATAAACCTAGATGACAATATCCCTCAACACATAAGAGGAGTATGTATGTGTGTGTGTTTATTGTATATGTATTCGTTCATTCGTAATCTTGGAGTCACTACTGTTATAATCTGATACCCCAAGCTAGTTATGCACAACAGTCCTCGGATCTTTCAAAGGATATTGCAAGTATGACACAAGCTTGTGCCGTATCAAGAACGATGTAGTTGAAAAGCATAGAAAATCCTAGATAACGACGTTGAAGCAACCAAGACAAGAGATTAGGATTTTGGCAAAGTCGACGACTGCAAATTCTATAAGCACAACTTCAAAAGATTACAAGTGATTGTGTAGCTCTCATAACCCTACTTGACCCTCTAGGACCCACTGATTCTTGCCCTTACAAGAATCTAGTGCAATAGAACCATCTAGCCTAATCCTTTTGAACGCTCCTAATTGATTCTTACAAGTCCTGGATGAGACCCTTGTGTTGGCTTGGTAGATGCCTACGTCCTCTACCCCTAGTAGGATTCTACGTACACTTACATCCTATTAGAACTAGAAGTCCTAATAGTACACATCTATTGAGTTCTATTACAAGTAGGTTTTGAGCCACCATACAACAACTCATGTGAAACTGTGGTGCTCGTCGAATCGTAAAAATTCTTGTTGGCTACACTAAACAAAACCTAGTAAACAAAAAATGACATGACAAGTATATATCCCTTAAAAACTTATGAGATACATTACACCACATACACAATTTGATAACTGCCTCCATCCTAAAAAGAATTGAATTATCTCTCTTTCTCCTTAGTCAAATCATCTAAAATTTAACTAAATACTTATAACACTAAATAGGAATCCGTATCAAAATATATTCAACAAAAGCTCTAACTATAATTATTTAGTAATATTATAAATATTACTATTTTCTATATACACTTGATTGAATTCGATATGTTTTGACTTGCTATTGCGTTAGAATTGTCTCTTTTTTTTCCGATTTGAAGCCGAGAAGGGCGTCTGTTGGTCGGGGATGGCCGTCTCTATCGCCGATCATGCGCGCATTGTGGCTTGAAATCGTAGTAGCGAAACAATTTGTGAGGATCGACCGGATAACACCATCATCGTCTGGGTCGTACTAGTAGAAGTGTAGAACACAGTAGTGTTCTCCGCGTAACCTACGTGGACGTCTGCGCGCGCATGGCATGATTAGCGGGGGGTTTAGGGTAGCGGGTGGGTCGTGGGGATAGCTTAGCTCGCACTCACTCTCGGCGCGGCAATCGGCCTGTTCGGGAGGCCGTGTCGTATCGTGGATTATTTTTCTTTGCTGGTTTGGTGTGAGAGAAAACACAACATTTTCAAATTTGAAAATTTACGATCGTTTACGAGCAAGCGAACAGGCTGAGTACCGATGGTGTGTGCCTGTGCCTGCCGAGCAGGGCAGGTGCGCTTGTCTGCCTGCTTCTCCAATGGCGCCATCCATCCATCCCCATCACTGTTCATCATCATCCTTTGCCTGCTGCTGCTTTCAGTAATCGGATCGGGAACGGATCGTCCATGTGTGATGTCTTCCTGGCTGTCTTTTTTTTTCGCGAGCGGGGTTTAGCCCGTCTTCCTGACTGTCCACTGTCAGTGTGGACAGGATCAGCTGCTGCGTCGCTGCCCGTGGGCCCGCCTTGTCTGCCACGATCGAGAGAGCTTGCTTGCACTGTACTTGCTCAAAATTCAATCGTCTTAATTGGTTTCGTTATAAAAAAAACCGTCTTGATTTTTTTAATTTAATCTCTCTGTATAAGCTGCTCCTTGTACTCCCCTCCTGTGTACTGTCATGGTCCATGGATACGGAGTACTTCCTTTGTCTCAAAATATTTGATCTTATATAGCATCTCAATATATACTCTCTCTTTTCCAATACATCTCTATCTCCATCGTTCTCTATATCTCTTCTTCTTGTTTTCTGTTTTCTGTGCGCCACACCCTTTTTAC